ATAAATCGACCGACAAGGTAAAAATGGTTCACGGAACCGTTTCTTTAACTTTGATGCACACTTTGTTCTGCGCGAGTTCTCGAGAGAAAGTTCCGAAAGATCGAGAACCGCAAATATACGTATACAAAAACGCGAAAGTCAGTAAATATGCACGCTGTTCAGTTCGGAAGGAGACATTACAAATTACAAGTCTTGAAAGTGGCCAATGAAATTATTCGCATTTTCGCCGATTTTAATTCGTACGATTCGTAATAAAAATCACGCGATCGTGACGATAATCGTTTAATCAAATACATCCCGTTATACCTTCGCTCTTCGTGATGCTCACCGGATGCGCCTTAAATCAAATTCGCCTGGTTGCATCTTGCAAAATGCCACGCGCATACAATTCACGATTCCTTATCGGAATGATTCGGTCTCTGTCCAATCGTGATGTGTGACGTTATCTTTTTTCGCCTGCCCTGTCGCTGTTACCGTGTGGAATGCACTGTGCCATCGTTGCAGGCGCAGAACATTTTCAATGGACCTCAGACTATATCGCGAATCCCCGCCTGGATACTTGACACTCGAGTTGCGTGTATGCATGGCTCGATATCTTTTATCTTTTTTTGCTCTTGTTACTTTCTTACTGTGAAACTTAACTTATTATGAACTTAATATTTTGCTCGTCACACAACATGCTGTCATGCTGTCCCCTGTTATTAAAAATTATACTGCATATCATGACAAAGCCTATATCAAGCTTGCTATCAAGCACTCCAAGTTTCTAGTAATAGAATTGAGACTTTATAAAAATTCTTAAAGTATCTGGCCCTAATGTGATGATAATATGCCGTCAATAAATGTAAAAAATGATAATCAGACTTAAAAATTATCAAATCAGACAATTATCAATCTTCGAAATATCGTAAATAGTGGGGAATTACCTGTAACAAGGTTATATAATATTAGAATAACAGACAGAAGTCGAGTAAAATAATTTGAAATCTTATTTATCAATATTAATATGCAAATGGTTTCTACACGAGTTCTATTACGAAACGGACAGGTCTTGATTCAAGTAATTTAAATTTTTTAATAAATTAAATTACGTTCTAAAAATATTTTACGTGTGTATGTGTACATGCCAATAAAATGGACATATCTGAAGAAATGTAGCTCGATTTTAACATGTTTTTTTGTTAATGAATATATAATTGCGCAAAATGATATATATATATACATATATATATATAAGCTTATATATATATATATATATAAGCTATGAGATATAGAATTTATAAACTATATAGTAACAATTCCGTCACCATCTTAATTACTCGAGACATAAAATCCCAATAACGTTTTTATGAGACATATGCGCTAAGGGAACGTGAACATTACTTTTTTATTATCGCGTGCCCAGTTTCGGTGAGATTAGAGCCCCGATTTCAAACTCACTTGTTTTATACCGAATCGAGTTCGAGAGATTTACGATCTTTTTCCCGAAACAATTCGGTGCAGTCGTCCCGTGCGGGAACACTTCCGGTGCTGCGCCGGCATCTCCGGAACGCGCGTAAAACCCGTTTCTACCGCAAGAACGGCCGCCGCGGTTCAATCAGTAAATTCGGCCGCAAGTGGAGTATCAACCGTGGCATCGGTGTGTATGTATTTATTCTGTCCGAGCGCTGACTATCGCACCCTGGATCTATTTCGTCGACATTTTACGATCGTTCTTACCCCGCCACGTCTTCTCTCTATGTTTGCTAAGCGCGATATTCTCTCTAAAGCCTTTTCTTTTCGATAACCACAACAGTGATTTTCTTGCTTGCTTTTCTCGCGGTTTAAAACGAAATATTTATCGCATTAAGTTGTGACGATTAAAGGAGAAAAGAGTGATAATAGGAAGAAAGTATATTTTATTTGTAAAAAGTCTTGCACGAAAGATACGATAATGACATGATAGGAAATTTGATTTTATTATTAAAATAGGTCTGAAGTCTATATAGGTTTCAAAATTTCATTATTATAATGATTACGCTCATGTGTGTGCTCTGTGATGAGGAATAGAATTGATTTATATTTTGCCATATCTATTTTTGATATTAAGATTTAGAATCATATAGATTTAGAGTTTTCACGCTTTCCTTGCTGTGGATTAGAACAGCTTCTACTTTAAGACCGCACGCAACATTTACAGACGAAAATAATAAACATTTTTTTATCTTACGCTTTAAATGTCACTTCGATAACATATATTGCACTCGTAAAATGTGAGAGTTTGTTGCTCCATGTGCAAGTTTCTTGTGCCAAAGAAAGACAATCGATTTTTACTAATTTTTAGTATTCACCCTCTGATATAAAACGAGGCGCGTTATAGGGTATAAATTACATCGACGAAGAAGAAACTTGCTGAGAACATACTTCATATTGTAACAACGTCCTTTTGACGTTATCTATAACGTTTCAATGACGGCTATAACTGACCCTTGAAATTATCTGGTAATACATTGTCTAATATCGGCAATCATAATGCGAAATAAAATATTCAACAAGTAACTACGTAATTGCCATAACGGCTAAAAAAATCAATAATGGGTCGTAAATTCAAGATATGGGCAGACGCGGGGCTGGCATGTTTTACCACTTATCCGACCATTGTGGTCTCTCCGGTTACTTAAGTAAAAAGAATCCTATCGGATATAGCGTGTGCACGATACATTGCGCGCGAACGTTGTACGCGAAGGATATTAAATATATAAAAGTTCGTGTATACATATATATTATATACATATACAAAAACACACACAAATATCAAATCCTTTTCTACGACTATGTAGCTTCGTTTTACGATCGCGAGTTATATCCCGCGCGCGAACATACCACACACACGCAGTTTCTTTATTTGAATTCCGTTTCCCGGGTGTATCTCCGTACGATACACCCGTCTTTAGTTATTCGGACTGCATTGTTCGCATACACGGTACTTAGTGTTACATTACATAACGATTTCTGGCATGTGTTTTCTCGCTATAGCGAGCCTTCTGAAGATAAAAGTTCGAGGGCGTGGGGAATAGTAATAATAAAAAAAAAATATTATAGTCTCTCATGTTAAATGTCACATGTCACATAATCGAGATATTCGCAATGTCAGACATTCGCCGTTATAACGTAGCGACGTAAATGTTGTCAATAAACTGCGGTGTAAATTGTCACACGTCCATTGTGCAATTCGTTCTCCTGTGTAGTCATAAATTGATTTTTATAAAGAACAAATTACTCGAACCTATTATTTAGGACAGAACCAAAACAGCAAAGTTCTTATGGAACTTAGAACAATATAATCGATATACAGTTTGGATCTCCTCTTCTTTGGCGTCTCAGTCTATGCGTTTCATTCATTCATAAAGTCAGCACTCATGGAATCAATTCCAAAGTCAAATCACGACGTGACTGATTGCTGCTCGCTTGCCGAGTTGGCAACCACGAACGACGGTATGCATTCGTAGGCGCGAAGTAGTAATATTTGATGATACTGCTGTCCGATGCAACACCAGCTTGAAACACAGATATCGCGCGATAATTTTCGAAAAATAGCAAAAACAGAATAACGATGCAAAGATACATCGATCGAAAATTTATTCATTAATTAGATCAATACATCGAAATAACGCGTATATAATATATTACTGAATATCGTAAATCGCGTGGATTAGCAAACCAAAGATAATAGACAAAATTTATTTAAATTTGGATGTATAACATATTTGCCTTAATCATTAATGTGGTCTTTTTGTCAAAGGTTTCTGTGTCCAATATTTTTTTCTGCGACATTAGAAACACTTTTGCAACTGTTCAGTTGATAGCAATGGATCGATTGAAACTTTCTTCAACTCAACAGACATTTACTTATATCAGTCAGAAACAGCAGAAACGATTAGTCATCTGTAGTCGTCGAAGTGCGCTATGTGTCGCATATAAGTGCGATACAATCTACGCGGCAGATCGTCTCTGTCGGTCGGACGAATTCAATCGTAAAACCTCGACGTTCCGTCCAAAGCCGCGTGTCACCTCCACCCGGCCCGACCACTGCACCGCGCGAGAGCGGTATCCCTTCCCAGCCACTCGTTTCCCGCACGCCGCGTACCCCTGATACGACTGTCGTGTCCGCTATCCTCAGTATCCTCACCGCGACGTGCTCCCACCCTGCATCGCCCGTGGCCAGCACGTATTTCGCATCGTGTCGCCGCTACCAGCAGATCGCGGATCGGAGGGAATAGACGGAACGACTTTTTCGCGCAGGCGCAACACTGTCATAAGACGTATGCATCATACCTAAGTGCATGACCCTAACAAGTAGCGTATATGCTCCACCGAAATACGTGGTGTTGTTTGAGTCCGTAGTGGAAGGAAATAGCAAGTATTAGGGAGGCGACTAAATATAATATAATTTATTAATATTATAATTTTTCAAATGTATTGTGTCCCGCAGGGATACAATACAACTGATTCGCTCAATTATTTGGGCTTACAATTATCCACGGATTCAAGCTGACTACACTGCGGACACTCACATACATTTACATATCATATTCCAAAAACAAGATACAGTTTATTTTAAGAATAATAGGAAGAATAAGAATAAATAAAAGTAAAATCCATATATGTGTGTTATATAAATGGAGCAAGATAATGAAAGTTAAAACTCATGTTTTATTTATATAACTTAATTTTAAAAAATTTACTTAGATGGTTATAATAAAGTTAAAAGTTTATTTTTGCGCGATGTTACAGATATCTGGACGGAACTAAATTAGAATGTACAAGTCTGCTTTTCATAGACCATGCTCTTTAGAATTTGTAATTTATATATTTTTTAATTTTATTTTTAAATTAATCTAAAGATTAATTCAAATTGTTTTACAAAACTTATAATATATAAGAGAAAGATATATAATATCAGTGGTGTATGCTAATAATAAATTTATTTTGTTTTTTCCAGTCTTGATGAATTTCCAATTCTTCATATATTTTTATATTATTAACGTAATTAACATAATAAAAAAAAAATACTAAAAAATGTATACGGGCCCCAGAAGCGCCCTACGTTCCATCTAAGTACGAGACTGTCGAGCCAGTCACGTGGTCCCCGCTGCACTTGCGATGGAGATGGCCAAGTGGTGGGAAAAATCCCTCCGTCCACTACCCCTGGTTACCGGCGGTCTTAGTAAGTTACGGACTGCATGCAAGTGCACATCGATCGTGTTGACGGCTGTCTCTTGGCTGACCCCGACGAGTGTGCTCGGTTTGCTTCGCTGTTTTTTTCCCCCCATGTCTCCGCATTTCAATTTCGCGCTAGTTGGATTCTCATCTCGCGCAGCGACTTGCCGGGACGGATCTCGGAACTAGTTCGGAGTTTGCGAATTTGCCAACTTGCAGAAAATTTGTCGGCGACGGATAGAGAGGAATAACACGCGAAGGACGGCGAACCAACGCAACGGCGATAGAATAGTGTGATACGCGGCGCGGAGGAGAGACGAGACCTTGGACGAAGTGCGCGTGTGCGACACGAGTGCCCGCGGTTTTGCCATCCGTTTTAATTTTTGCGCTACCACTTATCTTTTGCCGGCTTGCATCTGCTTGCTTCGTGCTTCTAGATCGTACCCGCATATCGTATGAAAAGAAAAGAAAAAAACAAGACAAGGTTTATTAAAAGATAGACAGATAATATATATCTTGTATATAAGCAAATAAAAGCGGAAAGAAGGTGCGCACGGCAAGAAGGGCGAGACGAGAAAGCGTGCGAGATAAGTGGCAAAGAGGGGAGGATTGTCCATTTCCGGAGGCGGAGACTTCCTGCCGCGCTTTTCCCTTCCCTTTCTCCTTTTCAATTCCCTCCTGTCCCCGTCGCTCGTGTTGCTTGCGATCGGCGGTGTGCCCTCGCAACGTGCGTGCATCGTGCACCGCTGAAGACGCGCGTAACGAAATTGCGCGGTGCCACGATACTTATTTAAAGCGCGGCCACACTAGCGCGGCACGTGTAACGCATCCAGAGTGCTACGGCCGGCCACGCGGTAACGGATAAATTACGCAGAAGAATTCTGCATGCGAGATATACACGGGTGAGGGGATTCTTCTCGATTGAGCCGCGCCGGCGGATCTCGCGTGATTACTAGATTCAGTGCTCGCGTGTGACGAGAGCCAGTGGATCCTCTCTCGAACACCGTCAATTTGTCCAAAGCCTTCATTATACGAAACAGCCACTGCGAGCCAGCGAGAGGGAGAGAAGGAGATAGAAAGAAAAAGAGAGAGACAGATGACAGGGTGAGTTTTTCTATCTCAATGAACTTGTTATTGCCTCCCCGGTAATTGAACTTAGATGCTGCGCGCGCTAACTTTCAGTAAAACGATGTAAAAAACTCTTATGGCCAAAGAAATGAGCCGCGAACAACGTACTGTAATAAAAGAAAACATAAAAAGGAAAGGCCGCGCTTTGATTAGGAGTTACATGTAAATTGGCATAATTACTTAAAAAAACTTTATATATGCGTTATCAAGGTGAGAGTTACTCCGTTCTTGCGCGCGCAGCTTCAGCTGGAGTTTAATAATACCGGTATTAACTTTCAGCTACTTTCTCATGGAATAATTTACAACGAAGAAATTTACTGCAGTATATTCTAGCGTAGTTGTTGTGTGGCAATATATTATATGATACCTATATAGCTTAAGCGATACTGTCGCAGATAAGATTATTGCATAGAATGCTAGTTATTGACGCAACATTATTACGGAAAAAATTATACATTATACATACACGCTTATAAGTTAAAAGGAATACACTCTTTACATTATTTTTTTTACTCTATCTTTCGGAATTGTGTTTATAACAAACACGTAACGATGTAAAAGGATAGAACGTATTCTATCGCCATTTTGGCTCGTTTATCTTTTATTTGTATAATGATTATACAGTAAGAAGTGTTAGCACACTTGTATATAAATGTACAAAAATACAAGGCGCATTTTGATTCGAAACATGCCTCGATCGAAAAATTTTGCGCGCAAATTTTACGGTGCATCCGATATCATTCAACGCTGCCAAGTTTGCGACGACACGAAAGTTTCAATTGCCTACATGCAAAGAAACTTGCAGCTTCTTGCGAGCGTTTATGCAATTCTGCTTTATTATCTTTGCCCTTTTGTCCCGCAGAAGTTATTATAGTTTATAAAGTTTTATCTCGGTCAATTAAGTAACTTTAACTGCCGGTCTTACGCGATTTTTTATTCAGTTGCCTATCGATCTTAATCTGCTTATGGTTACCTTGTCATTAAAAGTGCAATTTTAGATCAACGATACTCGAGCATGGAACGCAATAAAAATATAATCCTAAAAATATATAGGCGATTTAATTCGCTTCCTCCGATCCACAATGTACGAATGTACGCTAACGTTTTTCCACAAAGAGACTATGTTAGACTGTATTAAAATTGTGTTAGAGATTTCTCTAGTATAGTTTTATTAACAAAATATTAATTAAATATTATTTGGTAAATATGCTAAAATTATAGAATATGTTGTATCTTATCACATTTCATAAGCAATCAACTGATGGTGCTATACGAATTAATATGTATTATATTAATAATGAGTCCTAATTCTTAATAATAAGCACGGACATTTTGCTCGTAATTAATAATGATAATAATGACGATAATACTACTACTACTAATAATAATAGCAAATTTATTGAATAAAAAAATTATAAACACTAGAAACAGTAAATACACAAATTAGTTAAAGAGATGTAACGGCCGACAGCAATATTAGAACAAGGTTAAAAGAAATCTGAGTTAAATTAGGCGAGATCTTTCACGCGATACCCAATATAGTCACTCGCAAAAGTATTTGAGCAAATATAAAATAGACTTAAATTGTATATTTAATATAGTTTGAATACTTTTATATTTTTTAAAACATACATTTAAATTAAAAATGCGTTAAGCATGTAATATTAATCCTCCTTGCGTTAGAACACATTTTGTTAAATAGCAGAGCAACAATTAAAATAATTACACGCAAAAGTCCAGGGAGGTGATGATAACGCGAACAAGAATAACGCGCACGCAACGGCAGAAATTATGAAAATAATTTTTTACGTTCTCGCAGTTTGTCCGAAAGTAACACTTTTGCGAGTGACTGTACCGATGGCATCTGCCTCCACGCCGACGTGCCAGGAAGTCGTAGTTAGTTAAAAAGTCGCGCGAACGGGATACAATGTAACTAGGCGGAGATGTATTCGCTCCCTATCGCGATGTGGTTGGGCTCCTTGCTCTATCTCGCTGTTCGTAGTTTCGTAGAAACCGCGTACGCGTCGTATAACGCGCGATTTATCTTAAGTCTCTCGCGAGTGTATAGTATAAATTTACTGTATATTATATATATAGATATAATTGGCGCACAGTGAGATATGCTCGAAATTTTTATTTTGCAGATATCTCTACATATTATTTATAGATACCTCAGCGTACAGTGCCTGGCAATTTTTCTGTTACGTTATCTTAAAATACGGATTTGATAAATGTCCTTTGCAATATGCAGTGCTAGATTGGACGGAATTGTCATGAATCTCTTTGGCAACAAAAAGCACAACAGGAAAAAAAGAGAATTACATAAATATTCTGAATTTCAGAAATCTGAAGATGCTTTCTCCTAAGAATCATGAATAAGATTTAATAACAATTTAATTAATTGTGCGAATACATTATCATTACAGGTTTAAAATCTTGATATTAAGAGACGTTATTCGGGATTATGTTATTGAGATTATTGCGATATTCTATGCTGATTTCTATGTTGCCTCTGGTTAATACGATCGATATGATTGTGAGTAATTGCAACCATGGTTGGTCGAGACATTGCGGAATACATTGTGAATTATATGACTCTATAAGTTGTTCGTATCGCGCATACAGATTTTATAAGCTTTTGACAGCCATTATTATTATCGCAAAGGGAAACAACGATCATTGCCAATATGACATGTGCTATAAACAATATATTGTCGCTGATTTTCTACAATGTTCGTAACATTGACTTACAATAAGCTGAATGTTTCTATACGATTAAAAAAGAAAAACAATATAAGTTGTAATATAATAGGTAATAATAGGTTGTAGCATTACTAAACGCTGATGCGCTTTCTCTCTCTCTCTTTCTCTCTCTTTCTTTCTTTCTTAGAATTGTGAAAAAAATGTACGTTTATGTATTATAAATTGACGAAATAATGTAACTTTAATCCGATATATTGCAAAGAATATTTATCAGTCAGTTTGACTATTTAGGATTTATTGATATACGCAGGAATAGGATATACGCCTTATCCCAGGATTTATGCATTGATATACGCTTTAAAAATATAACTTAAATATAACTTAAATTTATCAATATTGTATAATGAATTAGTTGTCAAATGATTCACTTTATAACCGTTTGTTGACATTGTCAAAAAGTGTATAACGATTAACTGGCAGTATTAAAATATATAACTACACATGAAATGTACTATAAGAGATGTAAGAAGATTAGCTTGTCGTTCAATATCATTACGATTCATTCTAATTATGATGTGATGCCTTCAACGTATATTTCAAGGCGACTATATGACTTTCAATTGCGGGATACAAAATAATACTTACGAAGTTTTTATTTTGCAATGGGCGTTTTAAATATTAATATAATAATTACGCGATATAGTAAACTTGTAAAGGAATTTCGTCTGATTTTGTCTGACGTTTTCTTAATAACATACGACGCTTTGCTTCGCGACTCACATTATTTTTTAGAGTTATTCATGATAGTATATTCGGAATTCCAAGTAATGATTACCTTTCAGATTCCGTGTTTGTTGGAAAATAATTGGCTACGCACCGCGATTCTGCTTAAAATGTGCATCGTCTCTTATTGCATTCTCATATTCGAGAACAAATGCATTAGCAATTGTAATTTCGATAACAGATTCCATTTCGCTATTACATATCAATTAATGTAGACTGATTAACTTGAATAATTTACCTTTAATTACGTCTCCCTTAGAAAGAGACGAAGAGTAAGTTAACCTAAGGTTAAGAGTTAACCGACGTTTGTGGAACTGGCCCTTAATGTTGCTTTTCTGCATGAAAATTAGAATTTATTTTTATATCAATTATCAACTTTTACAACTTACAATTTTATATTTAGTCATGCCTAATATCAGAGATTACTAATAGATTACGTGTTGCATAATGCGTATTGTGTACACTGTACATCATATAAAACATTTATATTTGAATCGATGCGCGCGATATACTTTCTACGGAAACTTTCTTCATAAAGTTGTACATGAAATTATTTTATATGCATGTACAGCTGGTGATAACACCTACGTTTTTTTCTGCTATTAGAGTGTCTTCGTTCTATAAGCGACATCAACTATGCATACTTCATAGAACTATAACCTATACTCCTGGATGATTTGAGGAATAAATGAAATAGTTTTTCCTTTGATTATTATTTACCAACATTCTACTAGCTCTGCGAAAGTAAATTTTTATTACGTCTATAATTATATAATTGCAATATAATTTTTCAGAATTTATCATTTATTAAGTTAATTATTGATTGCGTTTTTAATGATGTTAAAATATCACATTTGTTTTTTTTTAAATAATAGATATCATTTTTTATTCCCATCTTTTTTGCGATACCCGGCGGAATCTGAACTTTGCTCTACTTGAGATAGTTAGCCGTTTTTTAAATCTGTGATTTGCGATCTTTCGTTCTTAGATAAGCCACGAATGTTTAATGAGACAGGTTTTGATGTGTTGTATTTCTCTGGTATGGCGTATCTTTTACCTCACCTTACCATAACCATCTGCGGAGATGCCAGGAGAAACGTATCTTTACCTTCACGAGGTCGTGACTCTCGTGTCCTTCATAGTGGCTTTAGCCGTGTCAGGATTTATCATAATTTTTGTAGAGATACAGAACTTATCCATTACCCATTTCAGGCTCGGGTATCCTTTATCTTGAGACTTGAATACACGAATGGTTATAGATCTTACAGAATTTCGTTGTTGCACATATTCCAGAACAAACAACATATCCAAAGACATATTCTTATAATACCGCGCTTTTCGTCAATTTTAACTAACGTCGATACGCATGTAATAATATAGCGTTTGTAATCGATATATAGCATAGACTTAAAAATATACTAAAAACTCCCCTTTTGTTTGGGTAATTAATAAATAATCCACATGTAAAATTAAATTGTATCTAATCAAGGACGAAAACAAGCTGTTTGACAGCTGTCGAATTGAAACAATTATTTGCTTTTATATATTAAATTATAATGAAATGGGAGTCTTTGTCATATTTAACTACGACAATTATCTTAAATATAAAAACACTACACTAAAACGTTAAATGACGCTGTAAGTTACAAGAATAATTTAGCTTTTTAACGTTATTTTTTACGTCTTGTAGTTCACAATTTTGCCAAGTGTGATGCTATGTACTGTCAACGCGGACTTGGCAATCGAGCAGGAGCCTTAATATTAGAATGTTTGCACGAGTGTCGCTAGCTTGCTTTTAATACATCCTGTGCCGGGCCAGTTACAAAAAACAGATAAATTTACACAAACTATCGTATTAGTTTATGTTGGAAGTCAATGACAGATTAGTAGGATTCACTTTCGATTTAGTTTTGATTGTTTTGAAAGATGCGCCATTTTTGTCATATGCATCATCTCGAGATATATTTTTCGTAATTCTATCTCTAAGTTTTCTTTTGTTTTCCTTTCGCACACTTATAAATTATGTGTGTAGCATTTTTTGTTTCGGCGAACTAGCCGTTTTGTACGTGCATATTGAACTCATTCTATAAACCTAATTTTAATCAATTATTGTTTTTGTTTTATACTCTGTACACTCTACATACTACAGCATTATAGTTGATCGAAGATTTGATCATTGCCATCTTTTTAAAGAAACGAATACTCATCATTATATTATTTTAATCCAAGTAGATAAAACATGTCGTTATTTCCTGAATAACGTTTATTATATTGTAAATCGACCGAGTCAGCAAACTTTTGATTACAGTTTTGGTTACCGCGCAAATAGATTTTAAAAATTATTTTTCACCAGAAATATTGCACACAGGCGAAGTATGATATTTGATTATACATCGATCATTAGAGAAATAGAACAAACACCGGCTATATACTTGACTCGCATGTATGTATTATACAACTGATATTATCATGACTTGTGAATTTAGATGTGTCAAATGTTTACATAAAATTCCCCTTTTCTTCTTTTTTCGTGCTATTTGCTAAGGTATTATATTATATTGCCACAGTTTTAACAATTCTTTAATTTTAATTATTTTTCTTTTTATCTTTTCATTAAAATGGTCAAAATAATTTCTTGCATGTTTCAGAAAGTAGAGCTATACAGATAGCGATACGAAAGATTCGCGAACACAGCTCTATGCATAGGATAACGGATAATAATTACCGTTATCTTATTTAAACGAGATCAGATCCAACGGAATCGGTTTCTTCGATTTCGGCAAGAGATCGCGACAAGGAAAAAGAAGATCGGCTTTCCGTCTATTAATATTAAAGAGTCCTGCGAACGTCATGAATAAAGAGAAAAAGAATGAATCTACGTCAACAGATTCGGATTGTTCTAAAACGGGTTATAAGCGGACAACACCGAAATGTAAGCGATGCGAACGTCACGGAGTGAAGAACGTTGAGCTCAAAGGACACAAGAGATACTGCGCATACCAAAACTGCGGTTGTTTAATATGCCATGTAGTTGTTGCGGAACAGAAATTATCGGCAAGGAACATAGCTATGAAACGAGCGCTTAAGAATGAAGAGAAAGAAATAGCACCTGAAGAGGTTAGTCTTATTTTTGTCTTTCAAGCTTGAATGAGAAACTTGTAACCACATACACACATTGCAGTTCCGAAAAATTGATCAAATATTCATTCTATAACTAAGGATATATTTGTGCATTTTATTATTGATCACATTTTAATTTAAACATAGGTACTTCTACATGATGTAGTACATCATAATATTTTAGTGCACTTTTAGAAAGCAGCTTATAGATTCAATTTCTATATTAATTTTGAAGAAAAAATTTTAATGGAGTTTATATTTGAAAATGCGCAAATGCAAATTTAAAGCAATTATCGATAATATTGATAATAATTAAATAACCAACATAAGCTGCGATTTTAAGTTGATATCATTACGAATTATTTATAGTTTTAAATTAATTTTAAATATTTATTAAAACATTTACGGATAAGAATTTATTATATTATGTCAAGATTATTACGGGTATTTAGATACGGATCTAGATATAAGAGGGTTGTCTCTATATATATATTTATACATCGATTGGCAATGTGTAACAGCTGTGGATTATCATGCAATTATAAACTTCTAAACATTTGTTAGTTTCTTGATTTTTGTTAGACTCAATTTATGAAATCTATAAATGAATAGTTTAAAAGTTTCAATTCGTAACTTGGAAAAATTGTACAAACAAGTTTCGAGCTATATTGATTTATATTTTCAATTTGTTATTTTTATATTAAAATCGAGCGACTAATCCCTAAATACAATAAGATTAAAAATTAAAAATCTGAGAACAAGCAGATTTTTAATTTTTAATTCTGTTGTATGTTGTATGCTAATGTACTACATATCGCAACCGTAATGTATTCTTTATTACCAGTATACTACCGTATACATCTGTGTACTACTGTTATTATTATTCTTTTCTTAACAGATACCACCAATGCCTTGGTTTTTGACCAACTTCAAAAAGTGTAAGTAATATTGACATATTATTATACATTATATAATAAATTGCATGTTTATTGCTTAGATGAGACAAATGATAATTATTTTATCATGTATAAAGAAATCGGAAAGATAGGTAATGATAAAAATGAAGATATGATTTGTCTCACATTGTGTTAATTTATTACACGAGATATCATTCAAATTACATTGTCCAGAGGATTGTATTTTTTTTTCTATTAATATTTGTGCAATATTTCTGAGATAATTTGTAGAATATTCCGCCAATAGTTACTACATAATTAATGTAAGCAGTGAGGAATACTTATGTTATCTGCGAGTGTCACAACAAATTAAATTAGAATACATCCCATATCTATGTCGAGTCACGGTGAACTGTTCTTATTCAATAGTGATAGCATGCTTTGCAGCAATCTAAAACCGTGTTGCGTCACATTGCCACGAATTTACCTGGTCTTTTATGTCATTCAATGCGCTTATATACAAGATGAAATTCGTCTGGCATTTGAATACTTCGCATAAGCTGCATCGGCACCTATAACGCATTATTTAGCCGACAGTATCGCGACCTTTGCGTCGCGATGCGAGTGGTATTTTATAGTGTGATTAGTAGGAACGATGAGGCTATAATCAAATATCATGATTATAAGATTGACTTGTGTGGAGTCATCAGAGTTTCACGTATAAGTTGTTGCAGATCAATGCACTCGAAAATATACATTTTTCTCGAGTCGCGTACGTTTTCTATAAATCTGAAAGCTGTCCTAAGCGTTTTCTGGTAATTATTTGCAATGTTTGAAAATATTCTGAATAAGATATAATCTCGAAAATCTTATGAACGTATAAACTTTATAAAAATAATAGACGAAAAATAAACACACATACTTTTTATTTAGTTTAGTCCTTGGCTTAGCCGTATTTCTTAATGACCATTGTCGAGTTTCTCAAATTATTAGATCGATACAACGTTTTATAGACATTGTCTGCCATCTGCACTGTGCTCTTTTGCTAATTTGAATAAGAATTATTTTGTTATGCTCTATATGCAAAATATACATTTATAACTAACTATAATCCGAAATAAGTTAATTTCTTGTGCAAGGAATTAAAACTACGTTTTGTAACTTTGAACGTGTTCTTCTCTCTGTCAAAATAGTTTTAGATTTTTTAAAGCGCAATTACTTTTCTCATGTGTGTGATTATTTATTTTCGGCTGTATGTTACAATCGCGTAATTTTGAACTGTAGATTAATATGTCGACAGTTATAAGTAGTTTGCTCCAAACGATATTTTTTTAAATCTTTATACATTTCACATGCAGTTTCTTAAATTAAAGATTTCTTGTTTATTCGCAGTAAGTCTTTTTTATTTTTATATCTCTTTCAATTATATTAACTTAAAAACAAAATTAAAACATCTACACGATCGTAATTCGTATTTACATATTAAGGTGATCCTAAAGCCGTGATCCTAGCCAGTTTTTTTCAGTTTTTTTCTTAGCACTAATCTTTTAATTGGCTTTATAGAAATGCAAAATTCTTGTCTAGAATTAAAGTACGCATCAAAATCTAAGTCATGGTGGTCGAATTTATATGTGGTGGTCGTCACGTATAACCAAAAATATTAATTTTTTTTTCGTTTTCGATATAAATTCGACCACCATGACCTAGATTTTGATGCGTACTTCAATTCTAGACAAGAATTTTGCATTTCTATAAAGCCAATTAAAAGATTAGTGCTAAGAAAAAAACCGAAAAAAATCGGCTAGAATCATGGCTTTAGGATCACCTTAACAGAAATAAATATCTTCTCTTCCTTGAATCTTGATGGCTACTATATAATATATTTATAACATAAAATAATTTGTAACTTTAATAAAAATAAAATAAATTTAATAAAAAAATAGTTATATAAAATAAACTTAATAAAAAGTTACTTTTTAGTAAATCTATAAATTTTTATTAAGTGTATATATATGTACTCATATCGCAGAAATATATCTTGATATGTCATGCTGATCACCTATTTGCTGTTGCACTTACATGACGAACGTACATACATGTATGTACGCGATGAAAACTGAGATTGCCTACCTGTTGCACACATTCTACTCCGGTATCTCTCATCTTCCGTGCATTTGTGAAATCCTTTAAGAGGCAACGCATCCTCAACGCTACGTTGTTTGAAAATTTATTTAGCATAAAACATTGCTCAAAATTTTATGCTTCCGATTTTTACGCTTCTGAATGTGATTAAAACATGCTCATTGTCGACATTGTCGACATTTTATTGAAGTTAGTGAAATTGTTTTATGTCGATGACAAATATGTTAAGATAACTGAGATTCAAGAAAGGAAAGATATTTAACTGTCGACAGATACCAATTACAGTCGCATGGATATTTTAATTTTTTTAAGTTAATGTAGTTAAGAATAAGAGAAATAGAAAAGATAGCATCGCGAGCAAAGAAATATTTGTGATCTGTCGATGTTGATTATAGGTATATTGTGATTTCTAACTTATTTTTACAACATCAGAACTGTGACACCATGAATAACATTCGGTGTGGAATGACTTTGACGAAAGTTAAAGTAGAATTTAATAGCGTCATAAATAGAAAGGCAACCATTAATTAACTCGGAACGCTTACTCTTTTTAATTTTTAATTTTTATATGAATAACTTATTAAGTTGACATCCTATTATTTAGCTCGTATTGTAGGCTCTTTTTCACACTATATACTTATTGCTTTGTATAAAACGAGCGTAACAATCTAATAATTATTTTAATCGTTCAAATTATTTCCGCTAAAAAAGGTTTGCTTACGTTTTACGTAAGAAACTTTTCCTCCGACATTAGGACAGATTTTGCAATAGGAACAACCGGAAAGATATACTTCCTTTTGATATCATATTGCATGGGACGATATCATGATATAATTATTTATAAGTTCGTGTGGGTATACCGACGACGTTGCGCGCGCGCGTGTTAGCGCTGATCAATTTAATTCAACGATATAAATCGGGCGCGTGCATAACGGTTTATTATATTGTACAAAAAAGGATCTAAACATTACAATGTAAGTTTAGTGCGAGAATCGGCGATCCATGGATTTTGTTATTTACGCACGACTTTTACGTATACACATAGTGCAGTTAAGAACGCAAACGCATGACTCTGCGGTTATTCGGCCTTTTACCGAGCAACCTCCGCAAAAAAAAAATACGATGGAACGTCAAAGTTCACGAACCGTGATAGTCTCCGGTGATAAAGTAATAAGTGCATTTCGCTTCTGGTACTGCTCTATGGTTATGATGAAGCGAAATAATTATAGAATAAATTATACATATAGTAGCGAGATAGTGAGACCTCCTCCGTTGCGGAATCTAGGAACAAAGATCGGCATTCAGTGCATTCAAGCAAAGAAGATTATTGCTTACTCTCACACGTACACTTTAAACCGTTATATCGTACACGAGCATCAAAATGTCATTCGACGAAGAAAGAGAGATCGTCTTTCACGGAGGAACAATTCTCACACTGTCTCTGAGATTGCTAAATCGACCAGTACGTTCGACATTCTCGCAATTTTCTTGCCTCATTTTTCTTTTATCGATTGGCTTTTGAAATCGAAGTATGCTAGCTAGGATTTTTTGTTTGCAAATAAATAAAGTCACATATAATGCAATGTGTGCCATAAATGAAAAGAATATTCAGAGATTTATAAATTTACGATAAGAAAATTTTTTCGGATAGCGACTGTGTCGGAATCGTTTTATTTTGCTCTTCAATAATAATCTATGCGGAAAGTCGTCACGTCGTGTTTGTCATTGTCGCCTCCAAGTTCGGAAAGTGTTTGGTGTATAAGTGAACGAACGTAGGTGCTTATAACATCGTTCACAGGGATTCCAACGAAACTCAAGCCACTCTTTCATTTGACAACCCACCCTAATGTTAACCCTGGTTTTACGAGCGCCGGCATTGGCCGGCGGGTCATGCGAACTCGACTAATATAATACGAACTTATAACCAAAGCCGAAGCCTAGGAGCTCGCTCTTGCTTTTACGATCCAGCTCGTTTTTAAAAGTTATCGTTATTTTGTTCACTTTTGGACGAAATAGTTTGTCCCCGAAATGGGTTGAAGGAAGCGAAGAAAGTTTGTGCACAGAGCTAACCACTAAACCTGAATTGACAACGTGATTCTCTTTTCTAGAGAGAAAGAGAGAGAGAGAGAAAGAGAAAGAGAGAGAAAGCAATGTATACACAATGCATCTACAATTTCCCACTGGGATAATACCACAACGGGATTGTTAAGTCTTTTTATGAGAACGAAGAAATATGCAGTGGAAAGAAGGGGATATTTTCGTGAACGGTACATTTATCATTGAACTTATTCTCCTATCATGGCGTTTTTGTTTACGTAATTTTTTTTGATTCGTGAAGTAATATATTTTATTATTTTTTGAGTCGTTTTCGAAAATAATTTCAGAGATAAGGCTAATTCACATTTTCGTATACGAAACATCACGGGCATTTCGCTTATGCTTACGTAAGCTCCGAAGTGCATTGTCAGAATCGGTCATAAATGCGCGCTAATTAATTTACAGCGTATACGTGCGCGGGTTAACCACCGGAGTTAATCATCGAAATTAACATGGGCACATCCTTGTGGTATTATCGTGATCAGTGATAATGGGAAAGTGGCGCGACACCCGATAATACGGAAAGTCGGCATCACGCCATGGCGTTGTAGAGGTGTTATACTCCAGAGGTGATTACAAGTATATGGGGATTGTAAAGTTTGGCTTTACGAGCTTGTATTTCAAAATATTAAGTTCGGGCTTTTAATAACGCGTCGTTATTCCTACGTGGAGTAGCTACGTGTGGCTTATGAAATTGGCTCGTGTTCGTTTGCTTCATGTGATAATTAAGTTAAAGAGGAAGTTTGTTGTTTCTTGCACTCGGCATACCTTCGTATAATTTATATTATATTATATTATATTAT